CGATCTGCGCACGCAAGGAGGTGCTATTCCTATTCTTCTTCTGGTAAAACGAAAGAGAGCTTCAAAACAGACTGCAGCGCCATCTGAAGCAAAGAGCGAACTTCCTGCGGACACTTTTTTGGCTGAGTGGCCCATCTTGTTATGTACTATCTTTGATTTCATTAACAAAAAACTTGACATATTATTGTGAAACTCAAAAAATTTAACGTCACATTTCTCAAAATTAGGCAAGGAGCAGAATCAGATAGAACTTCGAAATTATGAGGAAGCCACATATGTGCATCTATGTACACTCCCTTAGAGACACTAACGCACACGGACAGACTCGCATGAACATCAGAGAGTTTACAGTAATACTATTACTGTAAACCCTCTCTGATGAACATGTTACAAAATGTATAGGTTTAAAGGCGTTTGCAAATACACTGTAAGGTTATCAAAAAGGCATACAGACACCCACATTGATACAGGCCCTCCCACGTACACATACACACATACACACAGGTACACACATACACACAAACACTCGCACACAGACTCACAGACTTGTACACGTCATGTTCAACCTACCAGATATCCAGATGGAGTCTGTCTGTGTGAACATCGTCCAGGTCACTGGGGAAAGAAAAGAAGAACAACGACATCATGTTATGCTGTTACTTTCCTCGAGCTTGCCTGTCAAGACGAATCATCATAGCAAAATATATCTTACATTGTATCTACATTCATATAATTATTAGTATAGTTATTTGCTTGTTCACCCCCCCCCCCACATACACATTCCTGTCCTTCTTTTTTTCTTATGTTGGTATCATCGGGAGCGGTTGCTGGCCTTTACCATAATTGGTCGCTTTTAAAGATAATCGGGCAGACCCAGATTCCAGGGGATTCCAGAAATTTTGACCCACATCAAAAGGGGGCATTGTCCTACCTATAGGAGAAGTTCTGTTTCATTTGTGGGTCTATTTGTTTGGTTGTAGGGAAAACTCTTCTTGATTTTTTAAAGAAACTGAACAAGGGTCCAAAAGCTTTTACCTTTGATTTTCTCAAAACAACATTTTTCGGGATAGCCCGCTGTGCTGAAAAGCGGCCAGTTTAAAATAAAACCTTAGACCTGGCACTATCATGGCCGCCTCTCTTTGCTCTGTAAAAACTTGGCAGCGCTGACGTGCTCCACGAGCGCCTTATTGAAGAGCACAAACAACACCAGTCTCATATCATCAGTTACGTGTGAGCGTGACTTCCGAAGTGCAATACGTTATGTACTTCCTCTGTCCTTTGCGAACCGCTTTATTGCGTTCTTGAAGAATATCAGTGAACGTCCATACGTCCATAAAGGCAGCAGGGACAGTGACGGTGACCGGAAAGAAGTAAAAGTCATTGAGAGCACACGCCACAGATTTATATGGTAATATCCAAGACTGCTCACTTTGACGCAAATCCGGTCCATTGTGGAACGCGTTATTTGACTCTATCTGGAACCAAATGACAGGCAAGGGGGTTGGGGGGGGGGGAGTCATACCCACACCTAGCTGATATGAGACTAGTGTTGTCTTTTTCCAGATAGCAGTTGTTAGAAGCAAGGCATTCTATGCAGCTCATACAGAGTTTCTTTTGCTGGTGCAAAAGTGGCTTTTCTATAGTTCAAAATGTTAACAAATTTAAAATCTAAGCTAGTGACTGAAGTAATCGTCAGCTCAATCTTTCCCCACAGAACTCACAACTTCAGTGGTCTCCCCCTCTTTAAAAAAACAAAAAAAAAAATAAATAAACATTCAAATGGCTCATTGGACACAGGTCACTCCTGGTATACCCTTCATTTCACTTCTTTCGTTTTTTTCTTCTTCTCCTAACCTGTCACTTTCTTATCGACAGGAGTTGAAGGAAAATAGCCAGAAAAAACGCCAGCCCAATCGAACACAAGGCTAACTACAATTGTAGTTACCGAAAACGGAGCATCGGAAATTACCATTCTTGACTGCGTTCACATCGACGAAAGCAACCAACTCAAGTCAAAGTTAGCAATTTGCATTGACCTTTCATTCCGAAATCTCTCATTTTGTCGTTGCTGGGTGGGTGAATTTGAGCATTTTTCGCTTGTTTGTGTATTTCAACACAATCGCCCGGAGGAAAACAAGCTTTTTTGGGCTCGACAGAAATTCTGCGAAATTGTGTTATGGTCATTGGGTGCTGAACGTTTGGACAGATCCACAGAAGTGGGAAGATCTTGTGCTAGAGATGGTGCATACTACTACGTAAACATAATCTATATATATGAAAGTGGACTCGGGAGGCTTTGTGCACAAACTCCTCCCTTATGACCTAACCCACACCTTTGAAACGTTGCAGGCGTCCACAGCATCCAGGTGGCTAGGACCTAACTTTAAAAAATCCACGCAAACTGCTTTCCCCGGTTTTTCCAAAATGCTTTGTTTCGTCCACACAGAGTTCTACTTTTGGGAAAGTCCGTCTTCTAAGACACCATTGTAAACAAGTGAGGTTTCCGTTCACTGGCAGTGCGCATTGATGCCACATCTTTCAAATTCTGGAGTGTACAACCACGAAAGCGGAATAGAGAATCAATCTATACGTCATCTATATAATAATTATATTTGGCAACTTGGAAACACGTGTGTCACTTTTCTCTCAAGATTTATTGCTTCATTCCAGTAGAGTGTAAATATGTAGTAGGTCAATGACTTTCAGTTGATGTTAATGCACCGACCATTCTTTTCATCGAAAGGGCCCCAGCTAATCTCATATAAGAAGACAGGTTTGTTGCTTAGAAGAAGTCACTACCTCAGAAATACTAAGTCTTGAAAGATCCTGTTAATGTCTCAGAAGCATCTCACGATTTTTATAGAGCAGATAAAGCATTTGATTTCAGACCTCATGGTCTTAGCATGTAAGTATGTATATATGTGTGCATGTCAGTGTGTGTGAGTATGTGTGTGTGTGTGTGTGTGTGTGTGTGTGTGTGTGTGTGTGTGTGTGTTTGAGTATGAGTGTGTGTGTGTGTGTCTCTGTGTGTGTGCGTGTGCGTGCATGTTTGTGTATGTGAGTGTGTGTGTGTGTGTGTGTGTGTGTGTGTGTGTGTGTGTGTGTGTGAGTGTGTGTGTGTGTGTGTGTGTGTGTGTGAGTATGAGTTTGTGTATGTGAGTGCGTGTATGATTGTGTGTGAGTGTGTGTGTATGTATGTGTGTATGATTGTGCGAGTATGAGTGAGTGTGTGCGTGTGCGCACGCGCATGTGTGTATGTATGTATGGGTGTGTGTGTGTTTGTTTGTGTATGTGTGTGTGTGTGTGTGTGTGTGTGTGTCGGTGTATGTGAGCATGCACGCGCACGTAGGCCTTCGTGATCGGAATAGTCGCTACTCTTGTGGCCGCCCAGAAAGCATTTAATTTAGTCGTAGCCGTCCGATCAAGGAAGTGTTTTGTTGTCATGTGCATCAAGAGCATAATTATGTTGTTCGGTGTGAGATCAAAGAATTGCTTTATTTTTACGCACGTCATGTGCATAGACGTATACAATACGTGCTTTCACACGCACACTACACAATTCTAAGCGACATTTAAACCATGTTGCAGGTCAGTAAAACAAAACTGTGGAGACGAAAATACAAAAATAAACACCCCAAACCAAAAACAACAAACAACACACACAAAAAAAACAACAAAACAACAAACAAAACCAAAAGAAAGAAAAAAAAACCCCCCCCCCCCCCCTAACTGGCACTGCCGAACATTCTTAGCAGTAAGTGGAATAAAAGTAGTGACAACAGAGCAATCTGGAGCCACTGAGAGAATCTAGACTGGAGTCTTGGGGGGTTGGGGGGGGGGAATGGCCGTGATTACGTCACTCCACTCTGCCAGGGGAGCGCGCGCTCACTTCACCAGACAGAGATTTGTGTTGTTGTTGCAATCACAGACATGGAGGACCGGGGAAGGAAGGAAACATGGCGGTCAGGCTGGCAGACTCAGAGTGACGCGCGGAATTGGGGGATTTAGGGAGGGAAGAAATTGGGGGTGAGGGGAGTGGGGGAGGAGAGGGAGGGAAGTTTGTAAATGTCAACATGTGACGATTGCAGATAACGAAAGCATTTTCTGCTATTGGGTTGTTTATTTTTTCGTATTATCAAAGAAATAATGTGAGGACTTTTTTTTCCACCCTCGAAAAAAAGCAAACAACCCAAACACGCAAAAAAACAAACAAACAACAACAACAACAAACAAACAAACCCACACAGGCAAAACACAAAACAGGCGCACAGAGCTTGCTGTTGAGTGTGGATACACGCTATACAAATGCTATTTATCATTAGGTATTCATTATTACTTTTAAAAAGCAAACAAACAATTCATTCTAGTTCGCGCGTCTTACTTACCCTTCTCACAATAATGCTCGAATAAATCAAAGTAACAACATAACGCACTTAGACACGTCTAAGAACATAGGCATATTATGTTGTAGTTCTATGGAATATTGTGCAAAAATGAAAAGGAACCTTATAAGTACAAGCTGGCATTTCGCCAAAGTCCTACCTTTGGAATCTGTGTCATTGTTGAGCCATGTCTTAGCTTTTGGGGGAATTGTCGTTATATCATCTATGTAGATACAATAGACACCATTGGATGGCGCTCATATGATCTTATGCTGTTGCGAGCGCCGTAAAACCTCTACTAAAAAAGACACCGTTGCTGCAACGCAAGACAGAGTGAAGTGGAGGTCCATGATCGCCTACGCCAGTCGGCAAGGCACCGGATGATGATGATCTATAGATACTACTGCATTTTGGGTCTCGACAAACGGGGTTACAGTAGTATACATGATACAGCTTTGCTTGGGCAGTAGACATAAAAGAAGTAGGTTTCCCAAGTATTAATTCCCTCCTTTCACATTTTAACTTCCTTAACCAAAAGACGAGATAGGCCTATTGTTAATATGTTTGGAATTAAAGAAGGTGTAAGGGTGAGTCTTATTTTTACAGGTGTGATAAGGATATTTTAAAAAATGGAAGGGACATTTTGAGTTTCGAATTATGCCCCGATGGCGGCCTAACGACATACCCTTCTACGATTTTTCAAACACCAAGGGAACTGTGACGTGCGAAAGATTTTTGCTTCTTTTCCCTAGAATACTAGTAATAGACAATATATAACAATATACACATTTTAAAAGAAATAATAATAAATAATAAATAGCATTTGTATAGCGCATATCCCCGCTCAAAAGCAGGCTCTAGGCGCTTTACACTATATTATTACCCCAGCAGACCATAGAACACTCCGAAACATTCTCAGCTTCCCGGGAAGCATACAGTGCAAGCAGCTGATTAAGCACTCAAACAATAACAAACTGACAGGATCTTTCGCTGACTATAGCCGGGTACCCATTCCCACCTGGGTGAAGTGAGGAAAATTCGTGTAAAGTGCCTCTCCCAAGGACACAACTTCGGGCCCCTGACGGAATTCGAACCCACGACCTTATGGTTGCGAGTCCGAGAGCCTAACCACTAGGCCACCGATCCCATCAAATATTCCAAAATTCCAAGCTGTGATTCTGACACTAAAAATAGAACATTGGCCAAGTGCAAGGCGCCAACTTGTGCTTAGAAGTCTCCAGATGTGACCAAGAAACCCCCAAACAAAGGAAACAAGACAAACAAGAAATAAATACATGTACCACCCCCCCCCCCAACAAAAACAATACAACAACAACGACATCAACAAAAAAAAACCCAACAACACAAAAATAACCCCCCCCCCAAAAAAAAAAAAAGAAAAAAAAAGAAAACAACAACCAAAAAACAACCCCAAGAAAAAACAAACAAACATAAAACCCCATCAAACAACAGACAAACAAACAAGCAAAAAAAACAAAAACCCAACAAAAACCCACACAAAACCAACTCACAATCGGAACTTCTCGTTCCACACGGGGTTGAGCGTGTTAGGCTTCACGGTGGTGGTTCTGATGAGCTTTGCCGGCAGCATATCCCGCACCACGGCGTTCTTGTTCGACCTCCGGCGCAGCGAGAACTTCTTGGAGTTGTGGCGCTCTCGTGGCTCCCTGTCACGTGACTTGCTCCCCTCGTCATCAGACGACATGCCGGCTCCGGAGTCCACTTCCGGTGCGCGCCCCGGCATGATTCCCAGCATGCAATAGGGATCGCTGAAACCTGGGGAGATCAAAGAGGGGGATCGTTTCCGGTTCCTGTTTTAATGGGCGGTCGGTGTTTGCGGTGTGAGCTATTTCTTCACACTCACAGTCGATTAAACACGGTTTAGAATAGCCAGAATGGATGGCTCATACGTGTTGATGTAATTACCGGTCAACACGTAATTTGTCCACGGAGCCGCTAAGAACTCTCCGCAAATATCAAAGGTTGCGAAGTGGGGTGTGGAGTAATCATTGTTCATTACAGCTGGGATAAGTTATCTACGCACTTTTCACACTGACCTCGATACTGCACTGTGAACTCGCATAAGCAATAGGCTACAGTCAAGAAGGACATACTATCATCTGCTAAGAGCCAGAAATATCCATGCTTATTTTGGTCATAATGAACCCCCCCAAAAAACAAAAACAAAACAAACCCAAACAAACAAAGGAGAAGGAGAAAACCCCGGAAAAAAATCTTTTGCAGGCATTTAGATCTAAACGATATTGCATCATGATTGTAAATATCAAACCAATACACCCAGTAGTCAAGACGTTAGAACTTTTCCTTTAAAAAAACCACACACACAAAAGCCCCCAAAACAAAAAAACAAAAACAAACAACAAACGAAAAACAATCCAAAAACAAAAAACCAAAACAAA